AACAAAGTCCTCCGGTGGACCTATTTTAACTATGATTCCCTATTCAAAAAAGGTTAGTCAGCAAGAAGGCTAGTGCCCCAGAAAAAAGCATTTTCCAAAGTTTTTAAGGACTCCACCTAGCTATCTGTGATTGTGAATTCCAAGCCAGCACAACACAGTTTCTGTGAGGGACTCCTTGAACCTGAGGCCAGGAGTTGCCCCAGAAATGGCCAATATTTGCTGTATTAATCTTTTCAAGTTTTAATTAGGTTACTCAGTGTTCCAGATGTAACCGATACCTGGCCAGACAGGGGATGGCTTGTGACATCAGAATGACTACCCAATTCATATCCCTGGGATCCCCACCCCCTGCCATCGGGTCGCTCATGGTCCCAACTGCTTAATCTCTCCTTAGCAAAATATCTTCCTCCATGGCACTGAGGTACTACATAGTCTCTGCAGAGAATATGCTTCAGTAACTTAATACCATCATATCCCATCATAACCCATACAGATGCATGGGTTCTAGAGCTAGAGTTTTTCACCGGATCCCCCCAAATAAAAAAATATACATAAAAATAGCTCTCAAATATCCTTGTCCTGAAAAATCCCTTTGTCAGTCTATCTTTCACATTTAATGAAATAAACGTGACTATCTCTCAATATATTACAAGCCTCAAAGTGTTCTATCTATGAACTGAACACAGATTCCCCATTGCTGCTTGCGAGAACGGAGCCCAGCCCAGAATACCTTCTGATGGGGCTCTTCTCCACGATAAATTCAATTTTTCATCCATTGGTAATTTTTCTATTAGTCTGAGATGTCAATAAAATCCCGTGGAATGTGGGAAAAAACAAGTTGTGACTCCCTAGGCGGCAGGTCAGTTGCTCTAAGTAACCATCTGAGGTGAAAACCATTTTCCATTCTCTTTGGAATGCACTTTTTGCTGCACCCTCAGCAAACCAGGAAACTGAGGCGGAAAGCATCAAGTGATCCCACTGGGCTGGCTGACGGTCGGCTGTGGCATGTTCTCTAGTGCTTAGTCCTTTTTACCTCAGTGTCAGGGCAAGCGACATAAGGTTCCCTGCTGGGTTTTTGCTCGAGTGTTTCAGGTTGAAGTCTCCATGCCTGCCACGAGGCACCGCCATTTGCCCCTTCTAGACCATCTCCCAGCTGGCATGAATGTGAGAAGTCCTGTAAACCAACACCTCATTTCAAACTCGAGGCTACAAAGCCACGTCAGAGAGTCTAGAAGAGGTCAGCGTACAGACAGCACAGGTGGATGGAGAGGTGCAGTGGACGGACCGACAGATGGATGGACGGACGGGAGTGCAGGACTATGTACCAGGAGTACGTACTATTCATCACCAACTGTTTCTTTTTAACCAAGGCACATCATTTCAGTTCCCTGGGCTTTTCCCTTTTTTCTAATCTGAGGCCATTAAGGCCCAGAGGCTCTCTCTTCAGCTCCCCCAGTCTTTGATCTCATGAAACAACAGAACTTTCCAAAACTACTGACCTGAGAATGCTGGAGCCACTTTGCCAGGATCGACCAGAATTCATAGCCCCATAATGATAATAGGGACTTGGGAGGTGTTATTAATCCAGAGATGTGACACTGTCTGGGCACCTGATTGACATGCAATGACCTCTCTTAACATGACATTAGAAAGTGAATTATCCACAATAGCCAAGACCAGAGACAACCTAAGTGTCCATCAATAAATGAATGGATAAAAAATACACACACACACCCAATGGGATATTATTCAGCCTTATAAGGAAGGAAATTCTGCCATTTGCCACAACATGAATGAACATCGAGGGCATTATGCTACGTGAAATAAGTCAAATAGAGAAAGACAAGTACTGTATGATCTCACATGTAAAATCTAAAAAAAAAAAAAAAAAAAGAACTCTTAGAAACAGAAAGCAGCAGATTGGTGGATGCCAGGGGCAGGAGACGGGGGCCGAGCGGGAGTGCAGGGACGTGGGTGAAGGTGGTCAAAGGGTACAAGCGACTAGTTATAAGATGAACAAGTCCTGGGGATGTAATGTATAGCGTGATGACTATAGTTAACAGTGCTGTATTGTATACTTGAAAGTTGCCGGGTGAACAGATCTTAAAAGTTCTCATCACACACATACACACACATACACACAAACAGTAACTGTTTGAGGTGATGGATGTGTTAACTCATCTTATAGCGGCAATCATTGTGCAATATATACATATATCAAATCATGTTGTAAACCTGAAACTTACACGATGTTATATGTCAATTATATCTCAGTAAAGCTGAAAAACACTCTCTTGATTTTCTCTTTACAAAAAAAGAGAAAGAATGAAAGAAAGAAAGAAAGGAAGGAAGGAAGAAAGAGGGAGGCTGTGAGCAGAGCTTCATCAAAAAGTAGTTCCCACCTCGAATCTAGATTTTCACATAATGAGGAAGACAGCACACGAAAATTAGCACTGAGGGCCCACCCTTGCTTCTTGGGGTGAATAGAGAAGTCGGCATTACTCAAGCCACCCCGGGAGTCTGTGTGCATTCGGTTTTTTTTCTAGAAGTCCTTTGTGCTGTGTGGGACTATCTACCTGGGACTGACACCTCTCTATACCATGCCTACTACCTTCCATTTAATTTTTCCTACGACCCCAAATTCCATTTGGCAGGAAAGACTCCATAAAAACGGGTGTCTCCTTGGAGCAAATCCCTTCTGTCTGTTCAAAGAGCCCTTCTCAATAATGACTCTTTTCTGAAGTTATAAAACAGCAGAACAGTAAACTGTATATACAGGCAGGTCATTACAATACCGTATTTTCCTGCTCTGACTGCCAATTCTTAAAAGTCAGAGCACCCACCATTTGTCTTCTGAAGCTCAGCCGCCTGGGTGGGTCTTTGAATATTACGGGAAATATGGGCAGTGGGGCAAAACCCGCCCCTTTTTTTTATTCACGAGAGAGTAACAGGTAGAGGTATACCAAGGGGTCACTGGTTTAGGCTTATTCCTCCAGGCGGGTCAGCATTAGAACGACTTCTGTTTTTTTTTTTTATTATGTTCAGTTAGCCACCATATAGTACATCATTAGTTTTTGATACAGTGTTCAATGATTGAACGGCTTCTATTTTTTTGAAGAGAGAGATTCTACAGCCACCTGATGGGCCTTTCTCAAAGTTTAATTACCCTCAAAGTCAACTTCCTTACACCTCACAACTGCCTGCCCCCAGCCCTGTGCCTTGCTAGAACCGAAGCCTGCTTCCTCTCTGGTCCTCTGTGGAAAGCCAAGGCGCCTGCGCCATGTTTCTGTCACGTTATTAACATAACAGGGTCAGTATGAGTCTTCAGTTTGCCACTCCTACTTGGGAAACCTATGAAGTGGGTTTGGTTGTCACTGTGTGGTCCCGTGCCCGTGACCTGCTTTTCAAACGTAAATTGGGATCGGGGGACGCTATCAACTCCCAGAGTTTCCTGAGTCTGGGCATGACCAGATCATCTCCATGACTTCAAGAGACAAAGCTGAGAGGGGGTAAATGAGGTCAGAAATAAAGGGAGTCACGGACTAGGCAAATGGCAGTAAGGGGACGGTGAATGGAATACCATGTCCCGGGGGGGCTGTCCCAGGTGGGTATGGTGGTTCCTTGTGCGGGGTGGGGGTGGGGGGTTCTCCCCACTCTAGGGCATTGAGAAAGCTGAGGCAGTGCATGGGATGGTTCTAGCAGGTGATTGAGACACGCTGAGGCTGCAGCCAGGACCCCAGGAGGCACTGCCACAGCTGGGGTGAGCACAGGGTGACCTGTAGAACCACGCCTGGGGGCGGCCCCACTGCCCCAGCAGCATCCCCACTGTGAGAAGCGCCTCTGGAGGACTGCCCCGCCGAGCCCCAGCCTCAGAGGCAGCCAGGGAACCTCTACTGGGGATGGAGAACATTGCTGAGTTCATTCTCTGTGCCAGGCACAGAGCACTGTCTCCTTCTGTCTTAGAAAGAGGCTCTTACGATTGTCTCCATTGTAGATGAGGAGACTGAGGTCCAGGGAGGCTCCGTAACTTGCTGAAGACTTATGTGCGTGAACCAGAACTCCACTTGTTTTGCCCCCAGAGCCCAAATTCCTAACCACTCCGGTTTACGACCTGACCTCCCTGCATCTCAACCTCCAGGCATAGTGGGAAGCCCTGTTTTTGAATCGCTCTCCCATCAGAAGAGAGAGTACTCATTTTCCACCAGGGACCTGATACGGTTTGGAGGCATGCCGGCGCTGGGCAGAACCCAGCCTCCGTCCTGGGGAAGGGTGTGGCTCTGGAAAAGAGAGTTACTCTTGTATTTACTCAAAGATAGTCATTAAGTCACCGTGAAGACATCTTTCTGCAGACTAAACAACCCCACTGCTTTTTAAAAAAGCTCTCCTCACAGGAGTTCTTTTTTTGGTACCGTCTTTCTATATTTACTGGTTTTCCCCCAGGAATTCTTCTGCCCTCCCATTCTCTATTTTCATCAGTCCTGTAATAAGATTCTGATCTGTGCCACAGAAAGAAAAAGGTCATTTTCATAGTTTTCATCTCTGGCCTTAACAAATGAATAAAAGGCCAGCATGGATAGTAATCAGCCCCTTGTGGTCCACTCTGAAGCTCAGGTATTTTTTTGGCCTCCCCTGTGGCTGGCCAATCTTCCATTTACTGTTTGTTTCTGATCCTGTTGAACTTCACCGTGTATTTGAGGGACTAGTCCTCAGTCTCCTGCAGCCCCCAAATACTTCGAACACGCACCTGACTCAGCCCGATTTGCTTCTCTGCCCCCTAAGAGAATGCTTTAAAAGGAGCCCAGGGCTCAGAGACAAACTTTGAGGGGTGAGTGCCAACAATAAAATCCTTTCTCCCTGCAGGGGCCTCACAGTCCTCTCTGACAGAGGTTTTAGCCACATTTGAGCAGTGACAGTTCAACCCAAGGATTCTGAGATACCATCCCTGGTGCCTCAGTTTACCAGCCCAGAAGGTATGCCAGCCCCATGGGGGGCCCACTTACTTCGAGGTTCTCGGGGTCCATCCACTGTGATTTTGATGGCTCTGTGGTAAGTGGCAACTTGCGGTGGATTTGTGAAGACGGTGATGGTCAGAGTGAAGCTTTTCCCTGTAGGAGCACAAAAGAGAACACCGAAAAATGAGGGCATGGTCTGAATATATCTTCTGGGTAGTTGACCATTAATTTATGCTTTCCAGCCCTCAGACTGGAAAGGTGGTACTTCTTCAGCATAAGTGAGTGGTTTTTCCAACACTGCCTTAGCTTTGGCTTCCCTTAAATTCTGGAATGCACACCTTTGGTGTTTGTCTAGATTAACACTTTGCATGGTTATGCGGCTTTCGTTAAATCATCAATAAACAACACAGGATCAAGAGAGATTCGGTTTTGTTTTCTTTCAAGTCGAGACTCCAGGGAACATGGGATCGGATTGGCAGCTGTCCACTCCCCCGTAACTGTCCCCAAGGAGTAAAAGAAACCATATCACTCTTTCCCTTCTAACATTGCCTGTCCCTCTAAGGGTTAGGAAACACAGAATTCCTGAGTTGGTGAATAGGCAAAGTTAAAATTATTCTCTCTGTATTTCAAAAACACTAATTGCTGGTTAATTGACTTTAAATATTACTTTTAAATGCTAGATGTCATTAGAGGCATTCAAGAGATTGGCCAGACAAAATTTATAGTCAATAAACTGACTTAACGATATGTAACTGACAGATTGAGATTCAATAAGGACTATAAACATATATACACACGTGGATCTCCACCTAAGCAGTTTACGTACACACGTGGGACATGAGCGTGTTTTCATTACAGATGTCTACCGTGATGCTTTTGGTAACTTTTAAAAACTATTTAAAAATATTTTTATAAGTTAGAAGACAATTACTAACATGGAAGTAAATAATTAATATAAATAGACCAACAATTAATATTAATAATATAAGTATTAATGTGCACCTATATTAGTAATTTAAAACACTTCTTCTTGGCCAAGTGGTTCAGAGGATGAACTCTGGGTTTGAACTCTGGCTAGCTGTCCTTTGGCAAGGCCCTAGACCCCTCTGTGCCTCAGCATTTCCCATAGCATGCTGTACCTCATAGCATTTTGGGGGAAGTTAAATGAGTTCATAGGAGTAACCATTAAAACAGTATCTGGGGCATGATATTCGAAGGTATGCGTGCGAGTGTGTGTGTGTGTGTGTGTGTGTGTGTGTGTTGTGCTCACTTTTACTATTTTTCTTTTTCTCTTTCTCAGAGTTCCCCAACAGGATTCTAAGGTTTGACTAAGCATGATGTTCGGACCGCCCACATCAGGGCAGTGGGTTTCTATTTAACAGTTTCTCTTCTTAGTCATGTAAAATGAAACAAAACCAAAAAGAAACGAAAGGAAAACAAAACAGGTCCATTCATTCCCCTATCTGTTCTGAAACTGTTTAAAAATCAACTTGTCCAAAAAAAAAAAATGAACTTGTCCTCCTTCCTCAAGTTAGAGCAGGATACTTTCAACTGTCATGCATGTTTTAATACAAAAGAAAGCCACAAAAAAAGTTCAGTAAAAATACAGTAGACCCTCCAACGGCACAGAGGTTAGGGGTGATGACCCCTGCACTGTTGAAATTCGTGTATAACCTTTGACCTACCCAAAACTACCATTAGCCTACTGCTGACCGGAAGTCTCACCCGCAATGTAAGCAGTCAATTAACACATATTTTGCATTTCCTTTGTATTATATACTGTGTTCTTACAATACAGTAAGGTAGAGAAAAGAAAACATTATTAAGAAAATCGTAAGGAAAATACGTTTACAGTCCTATACTGTATTTATCGGAAAAAATCTGCATGTAAGTGGGCCTGCGTGGTTCAACCCATGTTGTTCAAGGGTCAACTGTGTCATCTTTGGCTGCCGCAAGCCAGCGATTCCTAATCATGAAAAGTCCCCAGGGAACAATCCCCAAGGATCTGTACTGTGCCTCCAGGGAAGACTACGATAAGAAGAACAATGACAAGCTGCGATTGGATGCTGAAACCGGCTTTGGCCAGCCTGGCTTTACAGCCAAAGTCACGGCCAACCTATCTGCCAGGCGAGGTGAGGTTGCTTTCTGGGGAGAGGTGCCCATGGGGGCCAGAGCACTGGAGAAGTCCGGGAGGCCTGGCCCCCAGACTGATCTTCCCATCAGCAGCTCTTCTCTTCTGGAAGCCCGAGAACATTCCTTTTGGGCTTTAGGGATTTGCCATCTTGAGGACATGGTTCACGTGTGGCTGCAGGAAGACGCCCCAGATCACCTCTGCCCTGGCATCTGGCCAAAGTAGGGGGGCTGGCAGGAGGGGCCGCAGGTCAGGTCCAGCGAGCGAGGTGGGCACGGTGATGTGGAGGCGGGAGGCTCTTCCTGCAAGAGGGTTAGGTCGGAGTTCTTGTAACTAATGATTTGACCTCTCCAGTCTCCTGGTCTGCAAAACAGACGGTTCCAGGCTTGTGGGATACCTGCGAGGTCACTTGCAACTCTGACCGTGTCTTCTGAGTTCGCAGCCCTCCCAGCGCCCTCGTTCACGGACACATGTGTGCTTCCTCGGTTGCCTGTGGCTTCAGCCTTTCAGATTCCACAAAAACACTGGATCAGCGTCCTAGGGGTGCTGTAACAAACCAGCGCAGACCCGGAGCAGAGGCTGAAGACACAGAAATGCACTCTCTCACACTTCTGGACGCCACAAGTCCAAAATCAAGGTGTTCGCAGGGCCACGCTTCCTCTGAAGGCTCTAGGGGAGGATCCCTGCTGGCCTTGCCCCAGTGCTGGTAGTTGCTGGCAATCGGTTTGCGGCTGCATCATGTAGTTTTTGCCTCTGTTGTCACATGGCCTTCTTCCCCGTGGGTCTTTGGTCTCCAAATCAACTTCTCTTTGTAAGGACACCAGTCATTGGAGTTAGGGCCCACCCTAACCCAGAATGCCCTTGCCTTGTTGATTACATCTGCAGAGCCCCTCTATCGAAATAAGGTCACATATTCCGAGGTTCCTGGTAAGCATGAATTTTTAGGGAACATTATTCAACCTAGTTCGAGTTCAGACACCGAGTGTCTTAAGAATTCCGGTCTTGGCACTGTGAGTCACAGCTGCTTCATAGGCACCTGTGCATTCTACCCCCTGAAATGGGTCGCATCCCTGTGGCAGCCCTGCTATAACCATCCTATACTTGGTTTCCTAAATGAGAGCAAAGAATTACCGTCTTTATAATACTGGCATTTCTAGATTTGTGGAGAACTCACAAACTTTCAAACACTTTCCCATATACTACTGCATTTGGTCCTTATAATGCTCTCGTGAAATAAACAAGATAGATTTTATTGTTCCTGGTTAATAGGTAGCAAAGCTAAGGGTCAGAGACGTTAAGCAATTTGCCCAAAGTCACACAGCTTGTATACACAAAAGAACCCAGATCTCTCAGGTTTACACCCACTGTTCTTCACATTATTGTCATGGGATCCCAAATCTCTACTTGCAAAGTCGGTGACATTAGCACCAGGAATCCAGACTCTTGGTAGTTTTCCCCTGCTCTACCACTGCCCAAAAAACTGAATATAGGGACATCTGGATGGCTCAGTCGCTTAAGCATCTATCTGCCTTTAGTGCAGGTCATGATCCCAGGGTCCTGGGATCGAGCCCCACGTCAGGTTCCTTGCTCAGCGGGAAGCCTGCTTCTCCCTCTGCCCCTTTCCCTGCTTGTGTGCTCGCTCTCTCTGACAAATAAATAAATAAATAAAATCTAAAAAAAAAAAAAAAAAAGTGAATATAGTCCCGGGGGCCTCACTATACCCAGAATGTGCTTGACAGCTAACTGCAAGCGTGGGTTATAATTCAAAAGCAGCTTCTCACTGAGCTGAATTTGGACTCCTGGCAGTTGAGTGTTTAATGCCGCCCCCTGGTTAACCACAGATTGGCCTACTTAATCGGGAATGAAATTCAACCAAAGTGAATATTTGTGAAATTGTTGCTCATAATTATAATTCTATCATTTTATGTCCATCATTTTATGTGCAGTCATATGAAGTGCCTGCCCAGCAAAAGCTACTAGCTGGAGCGTTTTGGCCCCAGTGACGTGGTTCACCGAGGTGGAGATGTTCTGGTCGCTTCCCTCACAATGGGCTCTTGTTTAAAGCCTTGAGCACCGGGACATCTGCTTATTACCTCATAGATGGAGGTAATAAGTGATGACATTTTGTTCACAGGTGTGTGTGACATTTTCCCACTCCAGGAAAACTCTGCCTTCCACTTCCTCGTGCTCTTCCGACCCGCCCTGGCACTGTGCTTGATAACTGGGGACAGTCGGCCAGTGGGCACACGGGACCGACCCGCTGAGCTTCAGGACCCCCCACACTCTGCCCCCCACCACTTCCCGGCCCATCCCTCTTGAGACGCAGCCCATCTTGGCCAGCACCTGCGGAAGTGGTAGCCGCACCCCAGAATCACACGCGTTACTCGCCAAATTCCCTCATTAAAATGACCTATGGGCCTGGTATTTTAAGTGCGTGGGTGTGGAGGGTGAAAGACTCTCAAGTGTTTTTCTCAGCAAGCTGTAGCCAGAACAGTAAGTCAGAGAAGAGCAAAGGTGCGAGGGCTGGCTAAATAACAGCCACTCCAAGAGTGGACCAAATGCAGGACCAAGTGCAGGGGTGGGAGCACGGTGCTGCCGTAGAGACAGCTGATGCTCAGCCCTGCAGCCTGGAGCCAGTCCTTGCCAAGAGAACCTTGAAGGCTCCCCGCAGCCCTGGCTTTGGCACCAGGAGACAAGCAGGGGCCTTGGTCAGCGCTCAGGTGACCCTGGGCGTGCCGCAGCTCTGGGTTTCCCAGGGGGCAAGCTGCAGGGTTACAGGTGTCCTGCATGGGGATTCACAGTGGAGGGAGCTAACCAAGCGGGGAGGGGCACTGAGACCTTCCTTCTCCCCCTCATGGAGACCTAACCCCAGCCCAGACAAGCAGCCTCCGCACTGGCCAGTGGTTGGGTTCTAGCAGGAAACTATTTAGAAGCACAAACACGAGGAACGAATAAGAAGGTGGGAGGACGCAGTAAGGGACAGAAGGGCTGCCTGATGCCCCAAAGCAGCAAAAGATAAGGC